TTGAAAGTTAAAGGTCTTTTTTTCTTGCTAATTGTAGGTGTGAGCAGTAAGCCTTTTCAGGATAGCAAATTCTGGCTCTACAGGTGAGTAACTGCCTACTTTATATTTCAGAGATGTCTTATATTTCAAAGTGACTGTGTAGGTGAAGAAAACAATAAATGCTTAGGGACGGCAAATGATGCCTGCTCTTAATCATCCAATTTAGTAATTTGATTTAAAACATATCTGTTCTGTATTTCAAATGCCCTGTTTCTAGTCTTAGTTCTTTCACAACTAGTTGTGTGATCCTGGAAATACCTTAACTCTTCACCTAAAAAATAAATAGAGGTCTAAGTGCTTCAACAATGTCAATGACATGAAAGACAAAGAAGGGGTAAGGAGCTGTTCCAGATGAATGACAACTGAATGCAATATGTGATACTGGCCCAGATCCAGTAGTGAAGGGGAAAAGCAATAAAAGGCATTATTGGATCAATTGACAAAATTGGAATATGGATGGTAGATTGCTACATTTCCTGAAATTGATAACTATACTACTATTCTGTAAAAACAAATGTCTTTGTTCTTAGGAAATACACATTGAAGTATTTAGGACTAAAAGGATATGTTGTTTGCAACTTTCAAATGGTTCATAAAAAAATGTATGTGTATGTGTGCATTGAGAGAGAGAGAGAGAAAGAATGACAAAGTAGATGGGGGAAATGCTAACTGGTCAATCTGGGTAAAGGGTGTATGTAAGAGTTCTCAGTAATACACTTGAAATTATCCTGTAAGCTTGAAATTACTTCAAATAAATAAATGAATAAAGAGGTTGGACTAAATTATGAATAACGTCCCTTATTCTAAAATACTATGGTTCAAAGAAGGGCGATTGTTGTAGCTGTCCTTTATAAATTTATAAGCAGCAAAGGAAGTGCTAAGTGTGTGGGGTGCAAGGGAAGGACCCCTCTGAAGGCAGTCTGTTGAGCGAGACCTTGAACATATGCAAGGAAATTCATTGTCTCCCATCATGGGGAGTCCAACTGGAAAGTCTAGTTCTGAGACACACATCTGCAGCAGTGGCTCAAAGGAGCAGCCCCAGTTTCAAGAGAGCCATTCTCGCATTGCACAAAGCCCCTCCTTTCCTCTGGTGGCTGCACAAAAGGCATTGCCCCCAAGAGGGCGTGGAAACTGACCGTGGCACCATTAGACTCATGATCTACCCTCAATTTATCATTCAGCACAGAGGCCCCAGGTCTTTTGAGGACAGAAAGGTTGTCTGGAAATCTTGAGAGAAAGAACTGGAGTTGTACATTACACTCAGCTTTCTCTGTATCTCGCCAGCCTCAAGCATACTTGCTTTCCTCTGAGTTTCCTTTTGTTTAGGTACAACTGTGGCCCCTCTTCTCCTCGCCTCCTGCTCTTTCCTGGGATCTTATTTAGTCAATTCTCAGTCAGTGTCAGCGGGAGTTAATTACATTGATTTTCTAAACATTGTTACAGGAACAGACAAATGTCAGATGGGCACCACCCCAGTCAGCTTTCTCCCACTCAACCCTTAGTCTCACCACAAAATGTGCAATAAAAGCAGTTGGGAAGAACAGAGCAACTAGATTGTAAATTGCCTCCCACAGTACCTCTAAAGTGTCTGCATTTTGAAATAGATCTATTATTTGCATGTTGTTTGGTCCATAGTAAATTCCCAACAAATCTGGACTCATAAAATATCCTTGAAAAACAAGTCTGCAGAGTTACAAGTTTTAGACTGATGGTTGGAGCCAGGCTAACAAGGAATTGACTTTTCCTCTTTGGCACCACCAGATGATTGTGTAATACATTCAAGCTGATGGGAAGACTATTTAAGCTAGAGCAATACACTGCAACTGATCCTTTCAAAAACCATTGAAAATCCATCTCCCAAACTTCCAATAGCTTAGTGAGGTTTTCCTCAACCTTCCAGTGAGGATCAGTCAACGTCAGTACAGAAAAGTTTTTACCAGCAAAGATTTTTTACAGTCAAGTCTGTTAATACTGGTTTATTTGCAATCCAAGTCCCTGAAGACAGCAAACAGTGGTATTGGCTGCCCTCTGTAGCCAGGCTGGTGAATTCAGTGAAATATCAAGACCAAGAAAATGCCAAATGCATGTAACTAATTCTCCTTGAAATCCAGAAATGCTGGCAAGAGAATGAAACTCTTAACTCTAGGATTTTTAAAGTCGAGGGTGTGTGGGAAAGTAACACACCAACTCCACTTCACTCAACCCCAACATGATGTTCGATTGTTTACTGGGCAAGAGGAAGCTTGCTTGTTGACTTTGAGACATCATGAGAAAGTCTGAGGCGAATGTCCTTCATTGCTAAATCAAAAGTCAACCATAGCAGCAATACTCAAAAGCTTCTCAGAGAGTTTCCCAGATGGAGAGCTTCCATGGTGTGTGCTTTTAAAATATGTCCACAAATTCTTTGAAACTACTCCCATCAAGAAATGGAATCTAATTTTCCTTCCCTCAGATCTAAGCTGGCCTTAGTGATCCGGATCCAGTGAAGAAAATGAGGTTGGAAGTGACATGACATGACTTCTAAAGCTAGGTTATAAAAGGAGATAGATACAGCATCTGCCTCTCTCTGTCTCACGCTGCTTACCCTTGAAATCCAGCTGCCATGCTATGAGGAGGTCAGGCCAATGGAGAGGCCATGTGTAGGTATTCCAGCTGACAGGCCCAGCTGAAGTCTCAACCAACAATCAGCATTAACCAGCTGATTTTATATCTATTACCTCAACCACATGAGTGAGAAAGCCTTCCAGAAAATTCCAACTCTAGCTACCATCTGACTGTCCAGTCACCATCTGACTGTAACCACATGAGTAAAAACCATCTAGCTGAGGCCAGTCAACTCACAGAACCACAAGAGATAATAAAATAAATGTTATTGTTTCAAGAGAGAGGTCTGCAAACTATGGCCTGGTGGTAAAATCTGGCCTGCAACCCATTTTTCTACAGCATGTGAGCTAAGCTGATTTTGGTACATTTTTAAAGGGTTGAAAAAGAAACAAAACAAAACGAAGGAAAATATGCAACAGAGACCACATGTGGTCCTCGAAGCCTAAAATAGTTATTCTGTGGCCCTTTATAGAAAAAATTTGCTCACCCCTGCCTTAAGCCACTAAGATTTCAGAAGGTTCATTATGCAGCTACAGATAACTGGAACATAGTAAGCAGTGTTGATGGGCAAATGCTAGGTTTAGAGGGCCACGAAAGTCACACTGAAAAGCCACAATTCAACTGTTATCTGCAAGTCAACACTTATCCTACCAATAACTGCTGTCGTACAGCATTCAAATTTCACAAACACATTTGCTCAGCCAAAGCAAAAGTGAAGGTAATGTGATTCATCAAGCAAGAAGAGTATCTTAAACATGTATCTTAGATTTGATTCCAGATTAAACTCCAAATTCTGAGAGACTCAATAATTTTAGTAATAATAGCTGGCATTTACTGAGTCCTTACCATGTGCCAGACACTGTTGTAAGCTATTTTATAGGTATTACTTCCGTAAGCCTCCTGACAACCCTTATTTCCACTTTACAGATGAGAAAACTGAGGCACAGAGAAATGATCCAGCCTGTCCAAGATCACACAGGTAGTAAGAGTGGAGCCAGGATTTGAGTCCAGGACTGACTTGCATCCATGAACTTAACCACTGCACTTTGCTGCTCCTCTCCAGAAAATATCTAATCAAGACACCCAGTCCTGGTTTGTTTTTTTTTGTTTGTTTGTTTTTTTGAGGAAGATCAGCCTTGACCTAACATCCATGCTAATCCTCCTCTTTTTGCTGAGGAAGACCAGCTCTGAGCTAACATCTATTGCCAATCCTCCTCCTTTTTTTCCCTCAAAGCCCCAGTAGATAGTTGTATGTCATAGTTGCGCATCCTTCTAGTTGCTGTATGTGGGATGTGGCCTCAGCATGGCTGGAAAAGCGGTGCGTCGGTGCACACCAGGGGTCTGAACCTGGGCCGCCAGTAGCGGAGCGCGCGCACTTAACCACTAAGCCACGGGGCCGGACCCCAGTCCTGGTTTAAAGAATGCAGCTGGCTTCCATAGGGAGGGCAGCACCCTTGGACCTATCTGACCAGACTTCCCTGGGTGCTAGTCAAGGGTGCTGTCTATCCACTAAGAATCAGGCCTGGGACCTGGGTCTCCATCTCTTTCTCCTGGAACCTAGGATCTTTAATAGCTCTAATTTTTCTAGACTAGCTCCAAACTACGGTTGGTTATAAGCTGTTCCCTCCAAACCATCAAAGTCTTCCTCACATTTTTCCTCTGGTTTCTCTCAATCAACACATGGAAAATTATGCTTGCCAAAGGAATGACTGTCAGGGGAGACACAATATACGTTCTTCATTGCCAGCCCTTGGCTAAACAAAATCAACAGACTGATAAAGAGCCAATCAATATTAAAAGGATATCCAAACCATTGTTAGGACCAGTGATCATGGAGAATGAAATGAGCATCAGTTTCCTCATCTGTGAAGTGAGAGTGGCAATACCTACTTTTATGACTTGTTGTGTAGACTAGTGCAGTGCCAAGACATATAAAGGGCCTAATCCAGCATCTGTCTGGCATTCAATTAATGGTGGTTATAATTACTGTAATTTTAACATGGGACACGCCTCTCTTTTAAAGAGCTGATAATTGTCCAATGACATTTAACTACAAAAGCTGTTAATCACAAAGAAAGATCCACAATCATGAAATACGACATAGAGTAAGAGCTGCTTCTTACTCGTTGGGTTACACATTTTCCATCTCCCTTTGTAATAAGCCTTTTCCACATTGGAAGGTGTTGTTTTAATCATTTATAAACATTGCCGGTTCATATTCTTTTCTCCAACTGAACTTGGCACAAAGAACTAGAGATCAATGTAAGAAAGAAAAGGCAATGCTCTGACTTTGGCAACGTGCCAGGGCCACCTCAGCACAGTGACCAAAGCCATGGCATAGCATCTCGTCTACTCACCAGAAAGGAAAAATAATGAGGCGGCTGATGAAAAACACAGCGGAGAAGATGAAAAACAAGATGTTACAGGTTTGCCTCCATCTGGCATAAGAAAACATCTTAGCAGACTGAAAACAAAGAAAGAAATTGCATTCAGACAAAGTGATATTAGTATAAAAATTTTAAGTTAAATATTTATAAATGAAATGGTATGATGTCTGTGACTTGCTTCAAAATAGTCTGGGTGGGGAGTGGGGTGCGGATGGGGAAATAAAGGAAACAAAATTGACTATGTTGGTAACTGTTAAAGCTGGATGATGGGTCCATTAGGTCCATTATACTCTTCTCTTTATTTTGTCATATGTTTGAAATTTTCCATAATATAATGTTAATAAAAGATATGTTAAAATGACTGTAATACCACTCCTGTCTTTCACAAGCAGTACAAGTTAGCGTAATTAATTTTAGCATGCATTTTATTTGGGCATTTGTTTAATGTCTCCATTTAACTGTGAGGAGAGCTGGATTGAAGAAGGCTGGGATATGAGTGAAGTCCTGGGATGGGCTGGGAACACTGCAATCAAGGTGGCTACTGTAAGGCGGATGACAGAAGAGGTAGAGTTAGGAGGCAACTCTTGGTGCCCTGTCCTGGTTGAAATGAAATTTTGAGCACTTGATTTTCTCTGCTTACTTTATGCTAGTCCATACTGCTTATATTATCTGTGTTGAATAAAAAGAATTACACAAAGAGTTGTTTAATGTGGTATTAGAAGGTTAATTGATGAGGATTCTCCCTTGCATTATGCAGTGGAGCCCAAGGCTGAACGGGAAAGAGTCTGGAGTTGGGGATGGAAGGTAGGTAGGAGTTGCTGAGTGCAGATCACCCCTCTAGGGAGTGTGGCTTGGGCCTGGGCTGTTCCGGAACTAAAATTGCTCCAGAAGCTCAAGGCCCCTCTACAATAAGAGAGGCAGCATATTTACATTTCAGGAAGGGTTTACATTGCATTTTCCATACTTTTCCATTCTTATCACGGGGTAAGAATATTATCGCGCTTTGGGGTTGGCAGAGGGACCACGAGGGAATAGCCTGAACTGCTGAGATAGAAGGCTAGTATGCCAGGTAGGTAGGAGATGGGTATACGGGGAGAGGCCAGAAGTTCAGAGTGCCTGGAATGGAGTGGGGAGCCATTTGAAGGGTCAGAGGCCAGGCCAGGGCAGGTAGCTAGAGATGTGCACAGACATGAAGAGAGCCCACTTGTGACAGCAAAGTAGCACCCCTTCGGGCAAATACACACATAGCCTATTCTGGACTGTGCAAAGATGGATATCAGACAGTAACCCCTCTCCTTTGCTAAGCATCAGTCAGGATACTGTTAAAAGTGTCGGGTCCTGGATCCAATCTTGAACACGTGGAAAATTAGAGAGGATCAGGAAGATACATGAAGAAGGCAAAAGGTTGCTTATGAGTAAGAACTGTAGATGTTCAAGCTGTTTTTCCTTGCAAAGAGTGAGCTAAGAAATGACCGACCAACTGTCTTGAGGAATATGAAAGATTAATAGGCTCCACCTCTAGGAAGGTCTAAACAAGGGCAAAAGTTGTACCATATCTGGGTTCAATTAGAATTTGACTGAGAGGACAAACACTAAAACAAACCACTCAAGGAAGCTGTGGAATAGGCATCCCTGGAGAATACAAAAAAATAGGCCCCATGCCACTACTTAACGTTGTCTCTACCACCAGCTGATGGAAGGTACTGGCCTTGCTCATTGAACCTCAAATTAGATCATGACTTGTGAATCAAGAATGATTCATGATCACTAACAACACAAAGCTGTTCTCATAGCTTATCCATGAAGGGACCTCTGAGTTTGACATTTCATTTTTCTTCTATTTTTTACCTAAGGACCTCAGAACATTTTCAAACAGTAATGAGCTAAACTTCACAATATACCCTAAGGGGTAGATATGACTTCTCATATTACAGCTGAGGATAGAGAGCAAAGCATTAAGTGATTTGCCCAAGTCACCTAGGGAGTTATGTTGTGTCAATGACAGGGTGGGGGAGGGCAGGCAGGGGAGGGCAAGCACAACTCAGTGTGCTTATTCCCAGTCCCAAAATCTAACTCCCTTTTAACAACACAATGAAGCTGTTTTTACAGTGAACACACACCAAAGGTAATTGAACTGAAGGGTTTAGAAGCAACAGAGTAGCATAAAATCCTTAAGTCATGGCCAATGTGGTCTTAATTACCAGGCAGGGTTACTGAGATATGATAAGAGAAGGAGGTAATTATAACAGAGATGGCTATATTCAGAGAGCAACAGATGGAAAAACTGGCACAATCCTTCTTTTGCTAAACCATTTGCTGCCTGAAGCACATACAATAGTCTTGACCTTTAGAACAGGATTTACATGTCTAATTACAATTACACACAAGAAACAAAATTCTGTACACAGCTAATATTTTAACAGTAGCCAGTTGCTTTGCAATGGCTTCAAATGGCTTCTGTTTACATCTAGAACAGTGTTTGGCAAATTACAGTCCAGCCTATGGGCTAAAGCTGGTCAGCCCTTGAGTTAAAAATGGTTTTCACATTTTTAAAGGGAAAAGAAAAAAAAAAAGGAAGAAGAAGAATATGTGATCCTATGTGGCCCACAAAGCTAGATTTACTATCTGGCCCTTTACCAAAAAGTTTGCTGAACCCTGATCTAGAAGAACAAGAGCCTACTAAATTAAATTTAATTTCTTCCATATCAACCTATATTCAATTATTAGCTCTTCAAGAGGCAATCCTGAACATAAAATGGGTTAGCATCATTTTCCCCCGCTTCATTATAAATGAGTACAGTTAAATGATGAGCTCTGGGAAAGGTGGCTCTAAGGACAGCAGGAGAGCTGGCAGTTAAGAGGACCATTGGACCACTGCCTCAGGGTAAACAGGAACCAATACATAACAGAAACATATAGAGAAAATAATTTTAATTTTGCTTTGTTTCTTATATTTTGTGTGGTATGGGATTAGGAAGACTCTTGTTTTAATGCCCCCTGCTCCAAAACATTCCTTCCTTAGAAAATAAATGTCAAATATTTAAATAAACCTCAGCTCTCATTCCTTAAAGCTGGAGGAGGATCAGTGTGGGGCAGTGCAAGCATTCAATGGGAATTCAGCTTTGGCTTATGTGAATATATGGTGCCATCCAACATTAAGAATCCATAATGTCATAAATCCCAGTTTTCCTTTTAAAAGATTAGAGTTTATTCCTTCTTCAAATATCTCAGCTTACTTCCTGAGCTAGTATCTGCATGCAACTTTCATAAGTAGAATCCCACAAATTAACCTCTCTCAAGTACCATGGAGAAAGAAAGTTGGAAACTAAAAACTAAAAGGTTTCATTTCTTTGAGCTTGAAGGATCTCGGGACCCAGAGTTATCCATGGACTTTGGGTGTTTTCAGGACAAAGAGCACTGCTAATTCACTCACAGACAATTCTTCCTGTAAGGAGTCACAGAAACCCAGGACATGGTATTGTTATTATTTTTTTAACAGCAAATGTTTACCTCCAGCCAAATGTCAGCCACATCATGCACAATCATCACGAGGGTCCCACTGCGAATATAATTAGCACACCAAGAGAAGCTCATCAAACTAATAGCAGCCAGGTGGTGGATGACATGAGCTAGAAAATCCTACATAATTAGGGGAAAATGGAAATCATTAAGCAAATACAGTTATTTCCCAATCACTGGAAGAGCTAATAATAATAATAATATTTAAAAAAACCAATAACGTACATCTGCATGTTTTGAAATTTGTAAAATGCTTTCACTTTAATTCTTAAACACAATCCTTATGAGGGAAATAAGATAAGTATTATCCTCAGTGATGAAGTCACTTAACTTAGAGACAGCATTGAATAGTTGTCATCTAAGTCCTAACATCTCCTATTCTCTCCACTGCCCCAAACTGAATATATGAACACACAGACACCCTTCATATACATAAACACATAAGCATGTTTCTGTGTACATTTACATTGTTTATTCCCTGTCTAATTCCAAAAAGGAAAAAAGACAGACATATGATATAATAAAACTGCACAATCATTAAAATTGGAGTTACTGCATATGAAATAAGTAACAAATGAAAGTGGAATAACTATATTAGTAAATCTAGGCTAAGGAGAGCTACCACAATTGAGCATAAAAACGTACAAGTTTTCTGCAAAGAAGATATACAAATAGTCAATAAGCACATGAAGAGACATTCAACTTCATTAGCCATCAGGAAAATGCAAATAAAAACCACAATGAGATGCCACTTCACACCCACTAGGATAGCTATAATAAAAAAGATGAACAATAACAAGTGTTGGTAATGATGTGGAGAATTGGAACCCTTATACATTGCTGGTAGGATTGTAAAATGGTGCGGCTGCTTTGTTGAATTGTCTGGTAGTTCCCCAAAATGTTAAACATAGAATTACCATATAGCCCAGCAATTCCACTCTTAGGTATATACTGAAGAGAAATGAAAACATATGTCCATGCAAAAACTTGTATTTGAATGTTCATAGCAGCATTATTCATAATATCCAAAAAGAGAAACAACTCAAATATCCATCAAGTGATAAATGGATAAACAAAATGTAGTATAACCACACAATGGACTACTATTCAGCAACAATAAGGAATGAAGTACTGATACATGCTTCAACATGTCACATTTAACCTTGAAAACATTATGCTAAGTGAAAGAAGCCAGACACAAAAAACCACACGTTGTATGATTCCATTTACATGAAATGTCCAGAAGAGGCAAATCCCTAGAGACAGAAAGTAGATTAGCGGTTGCCAAGGGCTGGGGAGATTAGGAGAAATGAAGATTGAGTGGTAAAAGGTATAGGATTTCTTTCTGGGGTGATGAAAATGTTCTAAAATTGACTATGGTGATGATTGCAGAGCTCTGTGAATATACTCAAAACCACTGAATTATGCACTTTAGATGGATGAATTGTATGGTATATGAATATCTCAATAAAGATGTTTAAAAAAACTTAAAGATTTCAGTTTCCATGTAGCCAAAGTAAAAGAGTAAATATGACAATAATAACAGTCTAATTTATTGAGCACTGACTGTATATCAGGAATTGCTTTATATGGATTAACTTGCTTAATCCCCACACTAACCATAGAATATAGGAACTATTTTTAGCTTCACTCTGTAGACGAGGAAATCAAGTTTAGGGAGTTTAACCAACTAGCTCGAGAGATTAATGAGAGGTGAAGCCAGGGATTCAAACCCAGGCAACCCGACTCCAGAGCCTGTGCTTTACCACCTCCCAGCAGTTTTATGTCTCTGAAGATATGCACTTACAAACATATGACATGTATCTACATTTAAGTTTTGAAAAGGTGCTCAGTGCATCTGTAAATAACAAAGAGAAATTAACTACTGAAAAGTCAAAGGTGGGAGAAAGACGGGATCATTACAGCATCAACCTACCTGGGTATATCTAGGAAGACCTTCTAAAAAATGATTATTTTCAATTCTATGCCTCGAGAAAATGACTCAACCAAGTAAATTTCAACGTATTCTTAGCCTAAACTAAAGTTAGTAACAGTTTATCTATAGCTATTATTGAATTTTATGGAAAAGGAGATCATTTCTATCAGATTTTTTCACAGTATATTCTTATACTTACATTCTATAAGTTTTCTTTTAAGATCTCCAGTTGACTGCAGTTGACTGGGCTCCTTAGCAATGGATAATGTATACCATCACCCACACAAACATCATTTAGTCAACCCAACTTGGTTTTATCTCCTTAATATTGAATTCAACTTAATTTTATTTATCATACAAATTTTGCTTTTACATAAAGGGTAGCGTGTGAAGTATATGCCAAGGGTATTCATCATTTGATCTGTGTTGCTAATGTATATGATGAAATCTTGTGGCTGCATTGAGAATAATCTAATAGTTTTCTGTACCAGCAAACAGGAATCAGTAACAACCATACAGTTCCTAAAATGCCTCACTTTGTGACCTCAGAGGATGCATTTAGCATGCCTGTGACTCAGTTTCTCTGAAAATAAAGCAAAGCTAATAATGCCTGAAGCAAAGTTTCCTCACGAGGATCCTGAATGAATTAAGGAAAAAATGTTTTCAAAGTCTTTGAATACATCAAAAGAATTATACAAAGTGGTTTGTAATCAACTAAAAGATGAGTCTGCAAAATTAAAATTACTAGCAATTTTCTGCCTTGCACCGAAGCACATTAAATTCTGAAACCAAGAGAAAGAAATGGAAAACATAAAGGAAAGTTCTTTTCTTATTGAATAAGAATGGAGCTTCAAGGTTAAAGTTTCCATAATGTTTCACTACAAATACTTACCAAGGTACCAAAGCATGAGTATAATTTGCACTATTCTATGTGCTATAAAAAGCTATAATCTGAAACTAAACACACATAAAAACATAATTTAAAGATGAGCATTTTGAGTAGGTGGATGAAACTTTTTGGAAAAATGGATAAAGTAGCTTTGTAAATAAGACACTTACCTTCCTCTTGACATCAGAGCCAAGGCTAAATACGAGAGACCAATAAAAACTCATCTCCAAAATGTAGTACCAGTACTGGGATGGCAGCAAGGGCTGAGGAAAATGAGAGTATTCACTACTTTAATGTCACCATATAAATGACTCATTTTAAGGCATTAAAACTATGTATAGGGGGCCAGCCCCACAGCTTAGCAGTGAAGCGTGCACGCTCAGCTACTGGAAGCCCGGGTTCAGATCCCGGGCACACACCAACACGCCGTTTGTCCAGCCATGCTGAGGCGGCATCCCGCATACAGCAACTAGAAGGATATGCAACTATGACATACAACTATCTACTGGGGCTTTGGGGAGAAAAAGGGTTAAAAAAAGGAGGAGGATTGGCAATAGATGTTAGCTCAGTGCCGGTCTTCCTCAGCAAAAAGAGAAGGATTGGCACGGATATTAGCTCAGGGCTGATCTTTATCACAAAAAAAAAACCATGTATACCTATTTATATTCCACAAAGTTACCCAAAATAATGATGGTTTATATTTCAACTTCCAAGAAGGAGTCGGAGGTAATATTTCAAGGCATTTTAATTCTAAAAGAGTAGACAAGAATTCCAAAATCAAGTTAAATGTTTTGTTTAAAAGTTAATAAAACTACAACGGGTGTAACTGCCTTATTTTAGATGAGTAAGAGTTAAGTTAGAAAAACAATTTAAAAATCTTTACTTAAGAACAATGGCAAGTCTGTTCTGCTGGTCCCACAATTTATCTTGTTTTATGTTTCTTAAATACTACTCAAAATATGATGTCCTAACTTCTTTTCTAGTGACAGGCTGGTGATCAGAATTGGCCCATTCTCAAATGGGACAGTAATAAAATATGTACAATTATTTAAGTACTCTAAAAATGTCTTCAGAGAAAAAGAATAAAATTTCTACTGCTAGAATTTTCCTTAATCATTTTGTAGTGTGTGTGGGGGGGTGCTTATTTTAGCTAAGTTGAGACATTATATTACTTGGTTACATTAATGCCTCCAATGAATCTCACTTTCTCATATCCATGCCCTGATATAGTGTCCTCCCACATGTGCATGAACTTATCTTGGGCTTTGGTCAAGGTGACATAAGCAAATATGATGCAAGCAGAGACTTCATAAGCACCATGGAAGAAACCTGAGCTATCCTGCTGGAGGCCACAAAGTAGAGAATCAAGGTGCCTACTGCAAAAAATATAAATGAGGGTACCAGGGACATGAGCCATCCCCTAGCCAGCCTACCAACTGACTGGAAATGCACAAATGAACTCAGCTAACACCACATGGAGCAGAAGAACTGCTCAGCTGAGCCTAGCCCAAAATGCTAACCTGAATTATGAGTAAATAAATGGTTGTTATTTTAAGGCACTAAGTTTTGGGGATGGTTTTTTATACTCCAATAGATAACTGATACTCTTGAGAAATTAAGAGTAAGTTGGAGGCAGAAGATAATAAGATTAGGGTTTGGCCTAGATAATGCTTAAGTACCTTATGGTCTAACCTTCTTTGATTCTTCAATACTAACGCTAACACATTAAGAGGAATAATTTTCTGGTCAACTCATCATCCTCGATAAGGCAATAAAAGAATGAGACAGAGTGCCTGCTTTTTTCTATGACAAATAAGCCTGTATGAGACTAACCTTCCTAGTGAGAACAACTAAAAAAATCTGGATAAAATACAGAAATAATATCTGTTTGACGGCATCAGAGAGCAATCAAAGAGTCCAGAACCCGTTAAACCAAGATTTTAAAGAGAAGAAAAAGGTATTAAAGTGAATCCTTTATTTCAAGTGAATCCTTAATTCAAGAAATACTACAGACCCTAAGCAGGATAAATTCAAATAAAACCATACTTGTGTTATAGCATAAAGTCTACATTTGCCAATTTATAAGCAGAATGGAGCCCAGAGACTAAGAAGCAGAAGAAGTTAAGTAGGACTTTTGGCAATCTCATAGTGCTAGGAAGGAAACTGGTGTTCAGGGCCAGCCAAGGAAAAGCGGTCCTGGTAAACATGGTAATCTTTTATTTAAAAGCACTGTAGGAGAACACCCTAGGAATATGGGTAAGTTGTAAATACATCTGCCCTCACTAAGACTGTAGTCCATACTGAATCAGCTCAATCACAGATATTATGAAGGTGATCTGTCTCTACTCTAACTGCCTAACAGAAGTGAAAGTAAATCCTCTCAGAAGGAAGAAAACATCATCTTGAGCATCTATAATTTTTTGTATACAATGTCTGTCATTCAGTCAAAAGTTATCAAGCATAAGGAGACAGGGAGAAGAAAGAGAACAGACCCCACAGGTAATCAAGATACTGAATTTATCAGACTTGGACTTTAAAATAACTTTAAAAATTTGGTTAAAAGGTGAAAATTTTCAGTAGAGAACTCGAATCCATTAAAAAAGAAATAAATGAAAATTTGAGAACTGAAAAATACAATAACTAAAATTGAGAACTCAAAAGATGTGTTTAACAGCAGAATAGATACTGCTGAAAAAAGCACTAGTGAACGGGGGGACATGAAAGTGGAAAATATCCAGAACTGTGAAGGGTCTGAGATTTTACCCTACTTGCAGGTTAGCTTGCCACAGTTTCATGGGTGCTGGTGGAAGATATGAGACTCCTGGATCAGAGACAAAGGATAGTTTATTACTCACAGTAATAGCAGTTGCCAGAGTATCAATATTTGGGCCAGTTCTCCCAACCCAGTTCTCATAGGGCTAAGCAAAGAGGGTCAGACGACATCTGCACATGCAGTGGGTTGTGTTACAAGAGAAGAACCTTGAACCATGGAACCTGAATCTTTCATAATGGACAGTAACTTGCCTACCCTTTGCTCCAGGAGGAGACATCATCCCTGTCTTCCAAGCTTGTTTACTATACAAACATCTTTGAAAAGATAACACAGAACAAAAGGCAGTCAATGCTTCACTTCATATGACATGCAGAAATGCAAGAGACCTGGGGAGAATTGTCTCCCAATAGACTGAAACACAGAGAGGCAAGAGGATGGAAAATAATGGAAAAAGCATAAGAGACATATGGGACCAAGTATAAAAGTCTAGCATATTAGCACACATGTAATTGACATTGAGAAAGAGAGGAGAGAGAGAAAGGAACAGAAGCAATGGCTAAGAATTTTTCCAAAACTGACTGAAGACATCAAGCCACAGATTCAACAAGTATTATGGACACCAAGGATAAATTCAAAGAAAACTACATTTATGCATAACATAATAAAACTGCTAAAAGACAAAGACAAAACAGTAAAATCAGTCAGAGAAAAAAGATATTCTGTTCAAGGAAGCAAAAATGAAATGGACAACTGAATTCGTAAAGAAAGTGATGGGATCCAGAAGACAATGGAAAGGCATCTTGAAAGTGCTGAAGAAAAACTGCTACCCTAGAATACTATATCCAGCAAAAATATCCTTTTAAAAATGAAGGCAAAATCATAACATTTCAGACAAGCAAAACAAAGAGACTTCTTCAGCCAGAAGGATAATAATTCCAGATGGAAGCCTAGACATGCAGGATGCAAGGAATAGCATAGAAAGGGCAATTTGATTTAAAAAACAATAATACTAATGACTTGTACCATTTTAAATATTTAAAGGAGGAGAGTATATGGAGTATTCTAATGATTTTTCAGTGGCTGGAAAGACGTAAGAGCAGTAATTTGTACTAGATTCTAATAATTCAAGAATGCATTTGGGGGGCCGGCCTGGTGGCGTAGTGGTTAAATTCACGTGCTCCGCTTAGGCGGCCCAAGGTTTGCAGGTTCGGATCCCAGGCGTGGACCTATGCACAGCTTATCAAGCCATGCTGTGGTAGGTGGCCCACATAAAACAGAGGAAGATGAGCACAGATGTTAGCTCAGTGCCCACTTTCCTCAGCAGAAAGAGGAGGACTGGCAACAGATGTTAGCTCAGGGCTAATTGTCCTCACCAAAAAAAAAAAAAGTAATAAATGATAATACATTAAAAAAAAGAATGCATTTGGTAATCTCTAGGATAATTACTAAAAGAATAAAAGCATGCATAACTGAAAAGCTAATAAAAGGGAAGAAATGGAATAATAATTTTTTTAAAACTTGACTGTCCCATAAACAAGTAAGGAGAGAGTACAAGAAAAGGAAATGCCTCAGGTGGTACAAATAAAAAATAAACAGTAAGATAGTAGATTTGAACTCAAATACAAAATTACCTTAACCGTAAACAAACTAATAGAATGAGACAAGTGATGGATAACGAAGGAAGAAGGATGAGTAAGCTCCACTAGAGAAGGAGCCAAAGGACTGCACAGAAGTGGACAAAGAGTAGGAAGAGGGCACTAAGACTTCACCCAGCGGGTAATCTGTGGGGCCTGAGTGATGAAGTAAGGAAGGGACTATATCAGGAGGGACTCACCTGTCTGGGATAGCCATTCCAAACCTCCAATAGGTCATATACCCAAGGCTTCTGAAAAACAAGGAACCAAGAGAGAAAAAATGTTTGTCAGAGTCAAAGGCTGATTTCAGCAGAAAACTTAAGCTCTTCCTGATGTCATTATAGGGGCAAAGATGGACAGTAAGACATACTTTTGTCATATTCCTGTTGCTCCTGATGCACGTCTCTCTTTCTGTAGATTACATGTTACTATACAACATCTCTGTGACATTTGTAACTTCTAGTGAAGCTGGGACCAAAAACAGTGCTACCTCACAGAGGAAATTACTTTTAACAAGTGAATCTTCTAATGAAATTATTTCTGAACCAATTAGATTACTGCTTCTGTAGCAATAAAAGTATCTTGAGACATCCGTGGTTATAAAATATCTTAGAAATCTTGAGAGAAATCTCTAAAAGCTGGTTAACTTCTTTTTCTGTGAAAAATTTACTATTAAGTCTATACATCACTTAAGCAGGTAATCATTTAATAATTATTTACACAGACAATGCAAAGGTAATATGGTAAGGAGAGATTTGATTTCTGATGGATGAGTAATGAAAGTCTTCATGGAACAGGTGACATTTGATATAGGACTGGAAGGAATTTGACAGGTAGAGATAAAGGAGGGAAGGACAAGCCATTTCTGGCAGAGGGGATAAAATGTGCTAAAATTCAAAAGTGAGGATGTACTAGTACGTTCAGTGGATTGTCAGGTGTCCAGTATAGTTGGTGCATGGGTTGCATGAGTGGAGATAGGGAGAGGTTAGATTTAAAAATTACCTTTGCAAATGCAAAGCTTTAAGAAGGCTTCGAAAGACAGACTGAGGAGCTGCTACTTCTCTAGGCATTAGAGTGATTAAGGTTTAAAAGCTGGTTATTTTATTGAAAGTATTATATTCTAAGAAATTCACAGGCAAGAATTTTAAAAGTTAATGACAAATTTCAATCAAAGGTATAAAAAAGACCACTTACATCATAAAGAAATACAATTCCAGCAACAGTAATCATTAAGTAAAATGCAAATCGCCAGCTGCCAAAAGAAAGAGAAGTCTTGTAAAGGTAACTGATATCTAGGGGAGAAAAACATTTTGTATGACAGAGTCTGGAAAGAATGCACATTCTGAAGTCAGACAAATCTAAGTTGATATCCTAAGTTTGCCCCTTGTTAGATGGCTACAACTTTAGGTAACCTCAGGGAGCCTTCACTTCATCTGTAAAATGGGAATAACATTACCTCAAAATGTAAAAAAAATTGAAGATAATTCGTGGAAAGTATTCATTATAGTCCCTACTACGAAGTAAGCAACAATAAGTGAAAGCCGCTATTATTGTGCCTAGTCCAGTTCCTGACACACAATAAACAATGGTCTGATATTAGTATTATCTAATCATTTATTTTATCCCCATTAATTCCCAGTGGAAAGGTTTCTATGTGGCCAGACTTTAGTCTCATCTCTAAAAAAGCAGATTTTGAAAGAAAATCTTTTTCTCATATATGGAGAAAGACCTCAAGATAAAGAGACTTAAAACACATATCAATCAATGTAATGCATCGGTCTTATTTAGATCCTGATTCAAATAAACAAAATGTAAAGAAAACTATGAGATAATCAAGGAACTCTGAACACTGATTGAATATTTGCTGTTATTGAAGAAAAATTTTTAGGTATGATACTGGTATTGCAATTATGTTTAAAATAGGGTCCTTATCTTCTAGAGATAAATACTAAAATACTTACCAATGAAATCATACAATGTCTGATATTTGCTTCAAAAGTAATCTTCAATAATAATTGGGTGAAGGTGGTCAAAAGGTACAAACTTCCAGTTACAAGATGAATAAGTGCTAGGGATGTCATGTCCCACATGATGGCTATAGCTAACACTGCTGTGTGTATGATATATATGAAAGGTGTTAAGAGAGTAAGAAGCTCTCATCACAAAGGAAAAAATTTTTTCTTTTTCCTTTTTGTATCTATATGAGACGATGGATGTTAACTAAACCTATCGTGGTAATCATTTCACAATACATGTAAGTCAAGTCATTGTAATGTACACCTTAAACTTATACAATGCTGTATGTCAATAATGTCTCAATAAAACTGAAATAAAAAGAATTATTCACCAAAAAAATCTGTGGTGGAAAAGAGAAGTAGGCAGGAGCATAGATGACACAGGATTGCCTTGAGTTGTTAATTACTAAAGTTGGTGATGAATACATGGCATATACACAGTTCTCTTATACTAGTATTTCTACTTTTGTATATGTTTATAACTTTGCAAAATAAAAAGTTTTTAAAAAATTACTGCTATTTTATCTAATGATTGCTGAAGCAACAATAATATTAAAAATAATATTTGTTCCTTACATTTGTGTAATGCCTTATAGTGCTTTCCTCAACAGACCTGTAAGATAAGTAAGAAAGAGGAACATAGGCACAAACCCATTTTGTAGATGAAAACTCAGGCTCTAAAGGCTAGGTCATTTCCCCAGCTCACACAGCTAAGCAGGAAACAGCAGAGGCAGAAGAGCAGGTCTTTGGACTCTGAATCTAGCAGTATTTCCTGAACATTGTCACTGCCTCTAAGCTAGATGACAGTTTTTCTTTGTGGCTTGTTTTGACAGAGAAAAAAGTAGGGTTCAATTACTCAGAAAGTTGAACCATAAAAATACCCAAAGGGCATTTTACAAAATGAGCCAGTTGAGACCAATCTCAACTTGTTTTATTTACGGTTGGTCCAATGAAGGCCCACACTTAGATGTAGAGAGCATTTCCTTGGCTCCCTGGACAATCTTGGCCAAATAGGAAGCACAAAAAATAGGACATGATAAGACCTGCCAGCCACAAAGGAAGCCATATGTCTAGGGCACATCTCATATTATTTGTTTCTCAAACACTTACTGACCTCTTGACTCTGTGCCGGGCACTGTGCTAAGCACACACGTGTTATCACGTTTTACCTTCACAACAACCTCATGAAGTAGGTACTATGATTAGCCCTTTTTTATGGATTGTTGCTTGACTCTCACAACAACCCTAAGAGGTACATAAGATCACTACTACCAAAGGACACTGTGGTTGAGAGAGATGGTACAACTCAGGCAAGGCTGTACAGTAACAACCAGATGCAAGAGTAAAACCCAAGTTTCACATTTTTCGGGACAAGTCCTATCAGTTGTCATTACACTGTGCCAGGGGTTCTCAAAGTATGCACCAGGGACCCTGACATCAAAATATTTTCATAATACTAATAAAATGCTATTTTCTGTTTTCACTTTCATTCCCTCACAAGCGTACAGTGGAGAGTTCCAGAGGTTATGTGACATGTGATGGCATCATTGTTCCGACAGCTGATGAAACGTGTGCTTGTGTAGTCTTATGTTTTATAAATGTCTCAGTTTTAATTTATAATACAGTAAATATCAATAGGTATAATACACATAAGTAAATGCTCTTTGGGGTCTTTAATAGCTTTTAAGAGAACAAAGGGGTTCTGAAGCCAAAAAGTTAGAGGACGGCTGCACTTCACTAATAATAAGATGAATAATGATGCATTTGTCAATGCTGTTTTACTTGCTTCAAATGGACCTAAGGTACTAAAACTTTCTTTTTTCCCCAGGAAAGGCTGAGACGAACATAATGGTGAGGGAAAAAAACTCTTGGGAAAAAATCCAGAAAGTGATTGGTTAGGTTAAGATGCTAATAGTGAAAGAAGATGAGACTGCAGGGTGAAGTCAGGGAGGAACTGGACAGAGCAAACTCAGGCCAATGGGGAGAGAAGCTGACAGGGCCAGATCTTGGGCTCAACAGCGGAGTGGCTAAATGGAGCAGGTGGTGAACCTGTCTAGACCCAGCCAGGCATGGTGGCAGTCCACCCAGCGGAAGGAGAACTCCTCCCTCCATCACTGAGGAGCTCCCTTGCCTATATACATCAGGTACTTGGAAACTTCCAGGTATTTTTATAATAAACTTCTCATTGCTAGATGGAAATGCTTATTTTAAAAGAATAGTGGTCAGATAATATGGAATTTGATTTGAGAATAAAGGATCCACTATGGATTGAAATCCTGAATGCTGTGCAACAGGGCTTAGGGGTCATTGTTAACGAAAGTAACCAAGGAAACAATACACTGAACTTAAGGTATTCAGAGGCTAATTCATCCTGATATTATAGAAGAGTGTCTGCCTGTTGGAGAGTAATTTGTAAAAGCTCAGTGTTGGGAAATAAGTTTCCTGAGATTTCCAAAATGCCTGGGTCTAGGTATCTCCTGCTATGATTCCTGTAGCACATCCCAGAGCTGACGGAATAAAGTGCAGTCCCTATACAACTAAATAGTTTGACATTTTGCTTTAGTTTATTTAATCCATAATAACTTCTAACAGTTATCTGACTTTGAGGAAATTAGTGACATTGCAAAAGAATAAGATAAAGCTTAAATTTTATTTGTTGGCCCCCTCCTATTTCCTGAATACATTGTATAATTTTCTCCATTGTACCTTTGCCTTACTTGAAACATAGAGCCCTCAAATCCTGCTTTCTTTTCTCATGGAAATCCTGACCCATTACTCAACGTCTGGCTTAGGTCTTATCTCTACAAAGCCTCACTGATGTATCCAGCCCTACTGTCGCCATCTCCTCTGAATGCCCACAGTGTATCTAAACATGACTGTGGATGGCAGGTGTACATGCCCGTGTGCCACCAGGGTGGAATAACAACAGATATGTGGTTTTGTAAGTGATAGTCTCATCTCCTTGATGAGCTGATTAAGGCTAGTGACCACGCCTTCCACTTTTATTTCCCTCTTAAAATCCACAACTCCACACAGTCTAGGATAGTGCCATGTACAGAGAAGATAGTCAACATAACCATCTGCTTTGCCTGACTGATTGATAAGGGCAACTCAAAATTCCCTTAGCTTGAACTCTGTGGCCAACTTTCCATGGACACACTGACAGCCAGATTCCCAAATGTTGGGCCCTGTCGACCCAAACACTTAATTGACGTAGGGGGTTCCTGCTTGCTAACAGGTAAGCATTAGGTAGCAGGGGGTGGTTCAACAGAGCAGAAAGAGTATCAGAAAAGGAGTCAAAGACTTGAGTGCAACAGCCCTGCCAACAGCCAGGTGACCTTAAGCAAGTTCCTTAAACTAGATGCACGTGTAGTTTCTCATTTCTTTTTTCTCTCAGTTTTAATGAGATATAATTGACAGACAGCACTGTGTAAGTTTAATAGTTTCTCATTTTTTACACAGGGCTAGCCCCACCTTCCTTGACTTGTCTCGCATCATTGGTGGGTGGGTCAAACAAACATTATTTAAAAACTGTAAGGTACTATAATGTATAAGAAATTACCAGAGAATTTCATTGGAGTATGATTCAGCTCAGAGGAGAAGAATTAGTCCCTGCCTGGGGACTTTATTTATAAAGATAGAATCATTTACTAGAAAGAATAAATGAATGACAGCAGGAAAACAGGAAGATGTAATGTGAGACCAGTTCTATTTTGTAGTGTTTTGTGGTGATGGTTTAGAGAGATTCACTTATGCCAAGCTGACATCAGTGGCAACACAATATTAACCAATCTCTCAAGAGCTAAAAATCAGAGAAAGCTAGTTAGAAAACAAACCAGGCCATACACCTCGAGCCCCTATGCAAAAGGCAATGGAAGCCTACGATGAGAAATGAGGGTTTGTTTCGAGACACCCTGAAGATTTGGTCTGTGCCTCTAAACATCACCAGCGTCACAGCTGGATGAGAGTACTCAGGAACAATAGGTAAATTAAAGGAAGCCATTAAAGCTTAGCCTCCCACAGGCTCTGTTTATTTATTTGAGAGTCTTACATCAGCTCTCTATTCATTTCACCATCAAAACAAAAATACCTGATGAAAGTCACTAGGCAATGTGAGGACTTCAAGAAATGGGCAGAAAGAAGGAATAATATTGGTGTATAGAATCTGTCATCAAACACAACCCAACCAACGTGCATTTGTCTGGATGTAAAGAAGAGGAACAAAGACAGACAATGACCTAATCTACCCTTTTTGCATAGGTATCAGTTTCTGCCACCAAGGGAGTGACCTAAAGTACCGCAATATTCTACAAGAGGGAAAAGAAACCCACAAGAAAACAGAGCTCAAATGAAACCAAAAATAAGGGCAACACAGCCTCACTGCCCTCAGAACCTATTCAAAGTAGCCAGCTCTGGCAAAAATCCTACCTGGTGCCCCAGCCCACCCTGACAAACAGACTGGGAAACCCAGAGGAACTGGCCACCCAATCCATAGGCAAGGGCTGGGGATAATGAGCCAAGTGAGACAGACGTCCTCTCAGTTAGTGTTGTAAGAGGAGAACAGACATCCTCTAAGACATTCTCTGCTCTTACAATGTGATATAGTAATTATAATGTGATTGGAAATAGGTGATAAAGTCTTGTGACCTAAGGCCAACTTCTATCCTCGAAAAGGTAAACAACAGTTAAGACATTTTAATTATGTTTTCTGGACTTGAAGAGAAGTACATAATATCTCCTCTTCATCTTAGAGAGTTCACATGTTGGCCCGGGTCATAGAGAAGGAAACTGATGCAGAGAAGGTAAATAAGTGAATAGCCTAAAACACCCAATTGGTAAGTGACAGAGCTGGGCTCGAACCATTCTTCTGTTCCAACTTCCGTGTTCTTTCTGAGATGACCATTTTTTTTTTTTTTTGTGAGGAAGATCAGCCCTGAGCTAAGATTTGTTGCCAATCCTCTTCTTTTTGCTGAGGAAGATTGGCCCTGGGCTAACATCCATGCCAATCTTTCCTCTACTTTATACGGGACGCTGCCACAGCATGACTAGATAAGTGGCGTGTAGGTCCACGCCCGGGATCCGAACCTGCGAACCCTGGGGCCGACGAAGCAGAGCGCATGAACTTACCCACTACACTACTGGCCCAGCCCCTGAGATGGCCGTTTTGCTTCGCATAAAATTGTAGCATTTCAAAAGCTTTGACTGTCCTTCTTACCAAGCTTCCTGGAATTTCTTTATCCTGCAAGGCCTCTCTTGATTCCGCCGACTCCTAAACCATCTTTCCACCTGGCGCTCTGTCAAATTACACTTCTTTGCCAGTCCATAAATATCAGTCTGAAAAGGGATGAAGTGAATAAATGAGTGACGAAGAACAGAGTCAGACTTGCAGGCAGTCAAGAGACAGTGAGATTGGGTTACAAGAACTTGTGTGCTGGAGAAGAGAGAGATTCTTCATTAGACGTTGAGCCAGTGAATTTACCTGTTTTGCTTAAGGAATCTCACACACACACACACACACACACACACACACACACACACCACCCCCCAAACAACAGAGAGAATGTTAGTATCCCAGCACTCTGAGTTACTAAGAAAGATCAATTCTCCATTAGGTGGTAGCAACCCATACATTCAAGTTGCATATGTGAGTTCACTAGGCTCAATTTTATTTAGTGCTTCCTAGGTGCTGGGTAGAGTAGTACCGTTTAAGATGTCAATCGAATCCAACCTCCTCATTTTTCCTATGGGGAAAATGGAACCCTGAGAGTTTTAGTAACTTGTCCAAGACCTAAAATTAGTAGCCAAGTAATGACAAGAACTTAGGCTGTCATGCTTTCTGTTATTTCACATGATCTTTCTAATAGCTCCAACAGGAAAAACTCAAAGAGGTGTTGGCCATGACACTCACATTTAATCAAATGTAGAGCCTATTTCAAACTAATCCAAAATAAGTCCTATCACAAAAAACAGTGATTGCAGAATATAATAATGATGATTGCTTCTCTTCTGGGAAGAAGAAGTTATAGGTTATGATTTAAAACTGGAAACAATATGGATTATGGATTAGCTCAAAGGTCACAAACTTGAAGTTCTCCTACGGCCAGACGAGAAACAGAAATGACTGAGTGGACCAGGTCTGTTTCATTGTGGAATTTTAAGTTGTGTTCTTTCAACACAGGCATGTTTTGTATGTTAAACCTACAGCACTCACCACTTCCACAATGAAATAAGCTCTGTAATTTTTTTTTAAAAACTAGCCCTCTTAACCTTTCATTTTCCAATGTGAGTACAAGAAATATTTCAGTTTCCTCTTAAATTTACTCTGAGAAAAATAAAATTATAAAACTGACCCTCAGCTTCTGTGTTGAGGAAATAAGCAGGAGCCATATGGATGCAGCCAACAGGACAGCACATGCCCTGTCCCCAAGGTGCAGCTGTGACCAAGCTCTGGCTGATGCTCCCAGAGTGAAAGTGCAGTCCCAGAATTTTGATGTGAAGTTGCTAGGTTTTTTTAATGTTGACCAATATCTCAAAGCAAATTCAAACCACCTGTGGACCAAATTGTGAGGGCCAAACAGAGCCTGCCCGTGGGCCTGACGGCTGGACACCACAGTTTGTGACCAGTCATATAGCTTCTGCTATGTTTTTGAGCATAGTTCATACAATTGTTCAGATGCACAGGGCAAAGGTAGATGAAATTCATAAAGAAGCTCTCACACTGAAGACTAATTGCAGCTTCTACATGCCTACTAAACTGCTAGCCTGTTACTAAATCTGAGATAAGGAAAGCAAAATGAAACAAAAACAGGATATGGCCCATATTACACTCGGTTTGCCTATAAACTGCCCTCTCTAATACCTATTCTTTTACAGGTCAAGGGTTCACCTGCTTTTGTTTTTGTTGTTGTTGCTGTTTTGTTTTGGCATTTTTGAGGAGACTGAGTTGTCAACTGTTTATTGGTGCTACTTCTTGCAGGCCTTGTGCTAGGCACTGGAGATCTAAGCGAACAAGACTGATATGGGCCTCCCCTCCACAGGGTAAAGTCTGTCTGGTAATGAAGTCAGAAAAAATACCCACAAAGAATTCTAACAAAATGTGATGAGCATTAAATAGGGGGAGATTAGGGTGCCATGAGACCTAACTTCATGTAGACAGTTCCTGGAAGTTACACTTAAGCTGAACCCTGAAACATGCCCCAAGAAGGAGAGGATAAAGGAGGAGAGTGTCCTGGCAGAGGGACCAGCATGTGAGGTCGTCTGGAGACGAGATCATGGGTGAGCAGGGAACACTTGTGTAGGGTAGAAACCTACAAAGTGGAGAAGGGGGAAGATGTGGCTGGGGTCACTTTAAGGAGGGCCTTGTCTGGAATTTATCTTGTGGGTTACAGGATGTTTGCATTTTTAAAGTCCCCCTTGTGCAGTGTGTAAAGAATGAAGAAGCAGGAGTGAGACAAGGTAGAGACCGTGTTCACTTTGCTCTTTTGTCCTAGGCCTCTGCTCCTTTGCTCTCACACCGAGGGCCCTGCACCCCAGAATGGAGAAATTTGAAGGTCTGGATTCACTAACCCAGACAGATCATGCTCATCACACTCCCACGCAGGAAGAAAGAACACGGCATTATTGAGGCAATACAATATGGCAGGGAACTGAAAACAGAGGATCCAGTTCTGCAACTTTCTAGCTATGTAGCCTTGAGCATTACTCTGACCCCCTGTGGAAAACAGGGTAGTAACAATGAGTGTTCACTTCCTGCCTCACAGGAACAGTTAGAGGATCTGGGCACTCCTGGAGTGAATGTGCTCTATAAACTATCACGTGCCATGTCAGTGCTGGAGATTGTGGCTGACCCCAGAAAGGAGACCGTGGACTAAAAATCATTTAAGAGAAAACATTCCTTTACTTCTAAAATAATTTGCAACATGAACAGATCCCCCAGTCAGAGGACATAAGTCACATCCTTTTGCTTGGTTCACAACAGGACATATTCTGAAATGCTGAAGCTCTATATTCTGTATGTCCATCGACTGAAAGGACTGTAGGTCTAGCTTGACTGTTTTAAAAGTTTTATTCATTCAATCATTCAAAATATCTAGTGAGCCTCTACTCACTAGTGCCAGGCACTCTTTTAGATGCTGGAGAATCAGCAGTGAGCAAAACAAAGTCCCTGCCTGCCCTCATACTAGAATTTTCCCAGATCTGAGAACAATCCAATTTTATTATCCCATCATTTCTACAGGTATCTGCTTTAAAAATGCATCTGGAAGATAGCAATCGAACATGATTTGAAGCTTTTTTCTTTTCTGTTTTGGAGCACAGATGAATCTGGGTGAAAGTCAGTCTTGGCAAACCTGGCCTTGTACACTACAATATTATTGGGATAGAAATCCTCTTGCAAACAAAAGTCTTTAGAAGTATTTTCTTATTAATACATGAAACAGTATTTACTGAACACCTACAATGCATAGAAAATTGGTGCAAAATGTTATGGGAACAGAACCCATAATGTGTGTGTTAATGTGTGGAGGTATTGTGAGATTATTTTGTTTCCACATCTGAAATCACTATGAAGTCATGCACTTTGCCTTCCTCTATAATATTCTATCTTCCTAAGTTTTAGTACCTTTAATTTATGGGCATTTTACTGGCCAACTTGTTATCTTGTTCTGCTATGCAAACACTGCCTCAATTTTGTAATCCACAAGCAATATAAATTAGGAATCTTAATTATTTTCCTTCATCTTCTTGGTTTAGGAGATAAAGCTTTCTAATACTTTGGGGTTGATGTATAACATTTCTTCTTTTACCTGATGTAAATGTCCAAATTATATCTACATTAAGCCATACTCTTGTCAACTGAGTTAGAACAATTAATACAAACACAGCTCCAGCCTTTGAAATACAGTGTTAACATTTTGTTCACAGATAAAGAAATCACTTGGGCATAGTAGAAACAGCACTGGACAGGGAGCCATGGGCCAGGTTCCAGCTTTGGATTCAGCACTTCTTAGCCTCATGACCTTGGACAGCTCATTTCCTCTTATTAGGTCTTACTTTCCTCATCTCAATCATGAAGAGGAAAGATTACCTAATTTCTAAATCTCTTTCAGCTTTTATTAGTTTTTCTTTGTCACATGGCTATTTTCTCTCTATAGCAGAGAAACTTGATCAGGACAAATTTTCTACATAATTTTAAATATCCTAAAAAGCTGACTGGAAGCCTTTGCTACAGCAAGCATAGCAAGTAACTGATAGCATAGCACTGTTTTTTATGTTTTATACAAGATATTACCAAAGTTAGTTATTCTCAAACACAAACAGAGAAGGATAATAAGGACTCTCTGAAAGAGTCCTAATTTTTCATAAACACAGCTGAATAATTTCCCTTTTGAAAAATGTAAAATGATGCTCAGTGGTAATAAAAGTATTTAGATGAACAACAGCAGACTGTTAGAGCATATGGAAATAAAGAACATGTAGCAATGGCTTGTCAGACTGTCCTCATTTTAGAAAAAAAAAAAAGAAGTCAAATACAGAAGCTGAGGGCAGAACAAATTAAAAGACAGTGCAGGTTAGCCATGAACAATTGTGGACGCGATGCCTCGCGCTACGTGGTCAAATCTCAACGTGCCTCCTTTGTGCAGAGAGCCCACCAGACCAACGATAGTAATGGTCATGGTAGAAACAACTGAATCCAGCAAATAAAGTTCACGACTTTAAAAATCTATCTATCCTAAAACTGTGGTAGTATATACTCCTGACTTTTAAAATTACTGGTGATAGCTGTCTGTATTCATCATAAAGGGTATGCCACTTTTGGAGAAGTTTTTTACGTCATCTCTCATTTTAACTATGGAGGTATAATGAAACTAGACCTGTCTAGAAACTATTTTTTTTTTTACAACTATTAGGTTAAAACATTTTTCTATGGAATGTAAACATGCAGTGCACTACATTTCATAAAGTACATCTTGTATTGTGAATACACTTCTGACTCTCCTAAAAATTCTATTTCTGGGGAGTGGGCAGGAGCATAGCATACTTCTGAGTGTGTTGAGGCCTTGGATAAAATAAAATGCTCTATTCATGAAAGCCACCCCAATGGACACTTTCATAATGTGTGTAATGTATATTGATGGGGACAGAATCATCAGCAGTGTCAGATATGGGCTACTCTGCCTTACCAATGATCTTTTGAGATTAGTATACTTTGTATATATCCTATCATTAAAAGTTAAATTTTGATCTTTATACCCAACTTATGGCATTGATTGTTAGTGTTCAATACTATAGTTGAATGCAATAGTTCAACTATTAACATTTGTTATTTTACATTATAATATTTGTTATTTTATATTACACTTGGAACACTGTATAACCTGTCTATAGAGAAAAAAAAATGAGTCAAATCATTTGCCAGTCAACTGGAACAGATATCTTGACAGATAAGGTAAGCCATAGATGACTGAAACATTAAGAAAGGAGGTTTTTAAATCCAAAAACAAAGAATTTGTACTTACTTGAGATGGTTGCCTTGTGGAATGTTTGAAAAAATTCTCTAAGATGGTATTTGGTATAATCTTTCGAACTTTCTCTTTAATGCCAAGTGTTTTTGCTAGAGGTAGAGCAATAAACCTACAAAAATATGAAAGAAAGAAAGTTCCAAATCTGAGAATGAATCCACAATGACACCAGAAAACTCAAGCTGTAAGTTTAGATTCCAAATGAAAGATCAGTCATTGGTTCATGTTGTCATTGTGCTACCAACAGCCAACATCTGCCTTGCAGAAGTTCAAGGAAAGCAAATTTTGAAAGCTTTTATACAAGCACTAACTTAAAAAAATAAACTACTTTCACAGTTCTAAAATCCATTTTATGTAAATCCAAATATATTTATACACAGGATCAAGAAATTGGGAGAAGCCATTCTACTTAGAGTTTCATTTTTAAGACTCCCAGGGATTAAAATAAACAATAGTTTTGTTATTAAGTTTTACTTGGTGATATTACCTTAAAGAAATTACTATGTTCCTATTTGAAGTTCTAACTTACAAATAAAATGGCATGACTCTTTGGGAAACAGATATCTAGGAATGGGATTGATGGGTAGTATATCAAGTATACATTTAACTTTATAAGAAACTGGCAAATTGTTTTCCAAAGTGGCTCTAACAGTTTGCATTCCCACCAATACTGTGCTAGAGTCCCAGTTAATCCATATCCCTGACAACACTTGGTACTGCCACTCTTTTTACGTTCAGCAATTCTACTAGGTGTGTAGTGGTTTTCATTGATTTTCCACTCTAATTTTTACTATTTCCTACCGTCTGCTTGTTATGAGTTTAGTTCGCTCTTCTCTTTCTAGTTTCTTAAGACACAAGGTTAGATTATTGATTTGAGATCTTTCTTCTTTTTTAAAATAGAGTTTACAGCTATAAATTTCCTTCTCAGCACTGTTTTTTGATGCATCTCATAAGTTTTGGTATGGTGCTTTCTTTTTCATTCATCTCAAAGTATTTTCTAATTTACCTTGTGATTTCTCCTCTGACCTACTGGTATTTAAAAGTATGCTATTTAACTTCTATATATTTGCTAATTTCCCAATTTCCTTCTATTAATGACTTCTAATTTCATTTCATTGTGCTTGAAAAACATACTTTGTATGATTTCAATACTTTTACACTTACTGAGACTTGTTTTATGGCCTAACATATGGTTTCTTCTGGAGAATGTTCCTTGTGCACATGAGAAGCATGTGTATTCTGCTGTTAGTGGGTAGTGTGTTCTATAGATGTCTGTTAGGTCTAGTTGGTTTATAGTGTTGATCAAGTCTTCTATTTCCTTGTTAATCTTCTGCCTAGTTGTTCTATCCACTATTGAAAGTGGAGTATTGAAGTCTACAACTATTATTGTTGAGTTATCTATTTCTCCCTTCAATTCTGTCAATTTTTGCTTCTTGTATTTTGGGACTCTGTTGTTTGTTAGGCACATATATGTTTACAATTGTTATCTCTTCTTGATAGATTTAGTATTTTTTGTGTGTGTGTGAGGAAGATCAGCCCTGAGCTAACATCCATGCCAATCCTCCTCTTTTTGCTGAGGAAGACTGGCCCTGGGCTAACATCTGTGCCTATCTTCCTCCACTTTATATGGGACGCCGCCACAGCATGGCCTGACAAGCGGTGCATCGGTATGCACCCGGGATCCGAACTCAGGCCGCCACCAGCGGGGTGCGCACACTTAACTGCTGCGCCACAGGGCCAGCCCCAATAGATTTACTCTTTTGTATTATAAAATGTCCTTTGTCTGTAGTAACAATTTTGAAGTCTATTAAAGTCTAATGTTAGTACAGCCGTTCCAGCTCTCTTTTGGTTACTATTTGCATGGTATATCTTTCTCCATCCTTTTACTTTCAACTTATATATGTCTTTGAATCTAAAGTGTGACTCTTATAGAAAGTATATAGTTGGATCATGTATTTCTATCCATTCCTCCTATTTATGCCTTTTAGTTGGAGTATTTAATCTATTTACATTTAACATAAATTACATTTAATTACTGATAAGACAGAATTTATGTCTGCCATTTTGCCATTTGTTTTCTATATTTCTTATGTCTTTTGTTTCTCTATTCTTCCATTATTATCTTTTTTTGTGTTAAATATTTTCTAGTGTACCTTTTAATTCTCTTTTTTTTTTTTTTTACTATTTTTAAGTTATTTTTTTCAGTGGTTAACCTAGGGATTATAATTAACATGTTAATTTATAACATCCTAGTTCAGAATCATAACAAAATTATTTCAGGAATATACAAAAACTCCATTACCTCCCCCCTCTGTGCTGTTATTGTCATAAATTATATATTTATAAATTGTGTTCTCATCAACACAAATTTATGATTATTGTTTTATGCAGGTGTCTTTTAAATCAGATAGGAGAAAAATCTGCTACAAACAAAAAATTCATTTATACTTCTTTTTATTTCTTATGTAGGCACCTTTACTGGTGCTCTTTATTTCTTCATGTGGATTCAAGTTACTGTCTTGTATCCTCTAATTTCAGTCTGAAGGACTTCCTTTAGTATTTTTTGTAGGATGGGTCTGCTAGCAACAAATTTGCCCAGTTTTTGTTTATCTAGCAATGTCTTAATTTCTCTTTCATTTTAAAGGGTAGTTTTGCTTGGTTAACAGTTTTTTTCTTTCAGCACTTTTTATATGTCTTCCTTTTGGCGTTTTACCTTTGTGGTTGCCGTTAAGAAATCAACTCTCAATCTTATTGAGGATCACTTGTATGTGATGGGATGCTCCTCTCTTGCTGCTTTCAAGATTCTCTCTTCGTCTTTGTCTTTTGATAGTTTGTTTGTGATATATCTAGATGTGGATCTCTTTAAGTTTACCCTATTTGGAGTTTGTTTAGCTTCTTGGATGTGTAGATTAACATTTTTCATCAAATTTTGGGAAATTTTTGGCCATTTATTTCTTCAAAAATTTTCTAGTCTGTTCACTTTCTCATCTTCTGGAACTCCCATTATGCGTATATTGCTATTCTTAATGGTGTCCCACAGGTCTCTGAGGCTCCTCATTTTTCTTCATTCTTTTTTTTTTTCCTCTTCCTCAGACTGCTGACTCTCTCCTGCCTGCTCAAATATGCTGTTGATCACCTCTAGTGAATTTTTCATATGAGTTATTGTACTTTTCAACTTCCAAATTTCTATTTCATTTCTTTTTATAATTTATTATTTCTCTTTACTGATATTCTTGACTTGGTGAGACATCGTTCTCATTCTTTCCTTTAGTTCTTAAGCATGGTTTTCTCTAGTTCTTTGAACATATTTAAAATAGCTGATTTAAAGTCTTTGTCTAATAAGTCCAACATCTAGGCTTTGTAAGGGACATTTTCTATTGATTGCTGTTTCTTCCTGTGTATGGGTCATACTTGTTTCTTTCATGTCTTATAATTTTTTGTTGAAAATTGGGTACGTTAAATAATATAATGTGGCAACTCTGGAAATCAGATTATCCCCCTTCTCAGAGTCTGTTGTTTTTGCTTTTTGTTGTTGTTGTCCATTTGTTTAGTTACTTTTTTGAGCTAATCTGTAAAGTCTGTATTCTTTGTCACGTGAGGATACTGACATCTCTATTAGGTTAGCTTAGTGGTCACCTAATGATTAGAGCATGTTAATAGCCCTGGGCACACCCAAAGCTCTACAAATTCAAGTGGCCCTCTGATTTCCAACAATATGTCAGAGCTTTTCACAGCCCCCTATGGACATCTCATTTCCCACCTTTTCCTTTTAAGCTTTTTGGTTAATCTATTTTTTGCTCCAATTGTTATCCACCACTCCAGGCAGTTTCAAAGTTAATCAATTTTCTCTAGTTGTTTCAGACAAACACTCCCAGGGAAAATGTTTTTCTCATTGTGGAGTTCTGAGTCAGGTCAAATAAAGACAGCTCTGTGAATAGTGTCTTCCAGGGAACCACCAGACAGGTCGGATAATGACAGTTCTCTGATAATGATGCTTTGAAGGAGCTCCAATTCTGTTCTGCTCCCTTCAATTGCTGTTAGGCTGCTGGTTTCCACTGAAACTGAAGGCTGTGGTTTTTCAAGGCTGTCACAGAGGTGGAAAGGGCAGGACAGGAATAGGGCAAGTTAAAATGCCACAAAGTTTGCTGTTCTTTCTAAGAGTCAGCTGTTTTTCTTAAATAACAGTTCCTGGATTGCTGTATGTCTTTTGTTAATTCTGAATTCTGAAAAATTGATTTTGACAATTTTTGCTAGTTTTCTGATTGCTTATATGGAGGAGAGAATTTTCAGAGTCCTTACTCTAACATTTTGTTAACCTCCAGTGTGTAGTTGTTTTATTTTGCATTTTGCTAATGACTAATGATGTTGAACATCTTTTCATGTGTTTACATGCCATTTGCATATCTTCTTTGGTGAAGTACCTGCTCAAATATTTTGCCCATTTTTAAAATCAAGTCATTTCTTTCTTATTGAGCTATAAGAGTTCTTTATATATTCTCAGTTTGTCTCTCTTCAGATATATGTTTTGCATATATTTTCTCCCAGCCTGTGGCTTTTCTTTTCCTTTTATTTACATCTTTTAAAAATAACTATTAAGGCACTTTTTGATAACATATAATTCATCCTTTTCAAGGATATTATTCAGTGATTTTTTCAGTAAATTTACCAAGTTGTACAATCATCACAATGAATCAGCTTCAGAACATTTTCATCATTCCACTATGATCCCTCATGAATATTTACTGTTAATCCCTCTTTCCTTTCATCCCTGCCCCAGGCAATCACTAATCTATTTTCTGTCTTTATAGCTTTGCCTTTTCTGGATATTTAATATAATGGAATCATACAACATGTGGTTGCCTGTGTCTGACTTCTTTCACTGAGCCTAATGTTTTTGAGATCCATCCATGTATTTGGATGCATTTAGAGCTCATTCCTTTTTATTGCTGAATAATAATCCATTGTATGGATATACATACATTAACAATGTCTTCTGAAGAGCAAACATTTTAGCAATTTACCAAGAGAAATAAAAGCATATACCCACACAAATTCTTTTTTTTTTTTTTTTTTTTGTGAGGAAGGTCAGCCCTGAGCTAACATCCATGCCAA